GATTGCTGTGTTGAGATTGTACCACTTAAAAGCAAGGGGTGGTTTGACTGATACGATCTTCACAAGATTTCTTTCACTCATTTATGAAATGCTATCAAAGGGTAGAGTCAAGAATAAGGGCTATGTAACATCCTAAAAATTATTCCCTTGATTGATTAAGCTAATGAAGGATAAATTTATAAATTTAAATATAATTGGGTTTAAGGATAGTTAAAGACGGCTATTGGCCTTAGCTTTAGACTTTGGATTGGGTTTGAAAGTGAATTGAATCACTCGAGCTTAAGTTGTAGAAAGAAATTGGATTTTTAGCTTACTTTGCGTTATGTTGCAACATAAAAATTAGCATAATTTCTTGAACCAATTTTTTTAAACATGCAAAATTAGTTCAAAAACAGAGAGTGAGACCAGAAACAGTGAGAGGGCAACCAAGTGAGTATTTTCTTTGCTAGAACATCAACTTTTAGGTGTGTTTGAAGCTTGGTTTCACTTAGGTATGCCTTCTTTATCTCTTCTTTTTTTTACAAGTTTGATAATGCGTCAAGCCTTATATAGTGAATCTTAATAGAGAAAGATCTAAAAATGAGTCTTTCATTTTAGCCTTATAGGCTCGATAAGTATTCTATGTCCCTGATCATGCTAAACCAAGTTGGTCTATTATTTTAAAGGATTTGAGCTAAAAGAATAAGGAAATGAGGTTGAAGAATCCATACCCCTTCTTGAAAGAGCGCTTAAGGTATTCTAGCATTAATGAACAAATGGTATGGATTAAAGTTCTTAAAAAATTTTTTTTAATAAGTTTATTAACATGTTTTTTGCCACTTATGCCTGTATATAGTTGGAGCAAGAAGGCATTAGAGAAAGTGATATCACAGACTTTTTATATTGGGTCGGATGGACAAATTTGAAAATATTGTTAATGACTCAGTTCGAAAGCTTGTTGAAAAAGTTATGAGTGTTTAAATAATTAAATTATCAAATAATTTTATTTATACGCATGTGCTTCATTATATAACATTATTTCTGCTCAGGCTACCATTTCAAAAAAGTCTCTAAAGGTGAGATTTCAAAGACTGAAGATATATTGAAAAGGACATTAGGCAATAAAGATCACCCTAATCATATTAGAGGTGTTGGCCCTGGCTTCACTAGAAAATAAATACTAACATCACCACCAAAGAAAAAGGCCAAGGATGTGACTACTACAAAAGAGGTTGATGAGTTGAGACAAGAGGTGAGAAGGCAAGCGAAATTGATTGAGAAATTTGAGAAATTTTTAGAAATTCCCAAGGAGTCAAGAAGCCATCTTAATTTTAAGATTTCTCCCACCAGCAAGAGATACAGTTGTACTGTGGCCTAGCCTTTTCATCCTCTCAAAAAGTTCCCTAAGGTAGTATTTTTTTTGTGTATTAACTTTAGTTCACAATTATTTTCTGACTTAATGCTTTTGTATGTTTAGGGGCATGTTTGACTAGTTTTTCTTAGAAAACTGCTTGGATTGATGCAATGTCATGATAGGGAAAGTGTATAATGTCTTGGGAGAGACTACTTTACATATAGTGACAATTCTTGCAGATTACAGTGAGGGTTGATCAATAAACCTCTTAATGCTGACTATTTTTTGCTTATGCCCATAATTGAGGCAATGATCATAGGGGATGCAGTAGGCTCCTTTATTGAATGACCCAGGAATCTTGTACTTTTAGTAGATGCAGAAGAAAAGACAAAAAATGTATCATAGTTGGCATTATCTCATATAAAGTATATACATAATTTCTTTTCATTCATAACTAACACTATTAGTTCATAGTCTAAGGGACATGACTACCCTAAAAACTTGGCACATGAATTCAAAGTTGCTGGACTACCCTCGATAAGTATGTCTCAATTGTCAATGAGAAGGCAATATGTACTTGAAGCGTTTACCTTTATGTTTGGGGCTAAAAATCTTACAATGTGGATCTTATTTGATCATGGCATGTACAACAGAGATCAAGGAGATATGCTCAAGATCAAAGTGATTGATAAAGTTCTTAAGGACGAGGAGATTAGCTAAACCATCGTTCACTTTCATATAAGGTACTTATTTTTCACATGACTACTTTCTATTTTATAACAAATAAATTGCATACTTGATTTCTTTATTTAGGTACCTTTATAAAATTTCATCGTCCTTGCCTTAAAGTTTATCTTTATATGTCCTTATGATATTGTTGCTTATCGTGACCAATCTGTTGAGAGTCATGAAGCTCAATTAGTTGCTTTGTTAACGTATTTTGAAGTAAGGAACCCTTTAAAAGAACTATTATTCTTCGCACCTTACGTGCAAGGGTGAGAGTTAATTACTTGAACTTGTCAAATTAACTTTTGCTTTAAGGATTTCATTTTATAGCATTTTTAAATTCTCTTAGGAACCATTAGATGTTAGTTGCCATCCAGTTAGCTGGTACATGCACAAGGTTTTACTACTTGGATTCTGTTGGCGGGCTACTAAGTAATCTATAGGATATGATGAAGATGTTCAATATGTAAGCTTCTTAATTAGCTTATATATTCTTTGTTGTTTCAAATTTCTAAACATTAATATTTTTTGTTTGTTTATTAGGGTTATGGCATTTGTATTGCACCCAAATGCAACTCAATATTCTAAGAGGCAAGAAATAATCAAGCCTACATTTGAAACATAATTAAGGTATTGCCTTTAAATATTGTCTTTATTATAAGTTTATTAGTTCTAATTCATTAATATATTTTTTAAAGTGCCTCGATAAAAGGATAATAGCCCGGATTGTAGATATTACCATATGAGGTATCTTAAAGATATTATCACTTGCCAGCAGACTGTCATTCCTTTGACAGTTGGTGGATGGGTGGGTGGGTGTGTGTGTGTCATTTGAGTTCAATTATTTTATAATATTAAAAATCTATCAACTAACTTTTCTTTAGTTATTTATAACACAGTACTATCCAGACACATGTTGTGAAGTTTTAGGGATGCTAGCATCAATAAAGTTATTGAGGAATGATGTCAAGATTCATTACAATTGCTGGCTCAGTATGCAACAAATTCATAGGGGGTAATTTCGATTTAGATTATTAAGGGATTTAATAATATTATATATGAAAATAATTGTTGCACATATTTTCAATCAATTAGTCTAAATTTATGTATTAAAAGTATTTTAGTCTAGAATAATATTATTCTGGATGCATGTATTCTAATTTGTAATGCAGGGGACTATGAAATATATAACCCTCAATTTTTTTTAAAAGATAATATCTGATGGTTATGGTATATAGCTGTCAAATATGCATCATCATATTTGACAGTTATGGCAGTAACCATTAAATAAAAGGATGCATATTTGATGGTTATATACCATAACCATCAAATATGACCTCATAACTTCTCTTATAATCCAAATTTGAGTACCTCTATATGACAATTGGTAACAACCATCAAATATTTAGGCATAATATTTGACGATTTCTTAACCATCAAATATAGCCATCCCTAATATATGATGGGGGCTTACTTGACGATTGTTGACCATTAAATATAAGCAAAAAAACTGTCAAGTAGCCAATTATGTAGTAGTGCAATCTCTACTAAATCTAAACAAATGTCCATTTATTTATTTTTACTTTGGGCCCCACATTCATTACATTTGGCCTCTATCCATCTCGCTTTCCTCCCTTCTAACCACCCCTCTAGCTTTATTTTGAAGTCCTTCACCTTTGCTGTCTTGAACCTTAACCTCTAGCGGTGTGTTATCTTCGTGCAGTGAGAGATTTAGCAAGGCTATGAGATTACAACTCTTATATAAGTAATCAGAATCTTGCCATCAATACAACAAAATACTCTCAATGATCTTAGTAGAGAAATTCAATCCCCCTTCTCTGAGTACCCATCATGCTTGCATTTCTTCTTCTTCGTTTTCTTATCCTTTCTCTCCATACCCTTATGCTCATCCTTTCTATCAGATTGAGATGATTCTAGAATCTCATAAGAAGGAAAGGGCTTCAATTGGGCTTGATTATTAGCAGGACCTTCTTCATCTTCAAGGTCGTGCCCTTCTCATGATCATTGGGCATCTTAAAGGTTGAGTTGGGACTCAAATGACGTTCTTTATGATAGAAAGGTTGGTGGTGAAGCTGGAGTTATTGAGCCATTAGAGAATTGAAGTGGTGCTGTGTTGTGAAGAGTTAGTGACTAGAAAGAGGAGGAACAGAGAAGATTTTGGTTTATCAATTATTGCTTCCACTTCTTTTGCTAGCATCAGTGATTTTCCTTCCATTCAATTCTAGGACATAGGCAGCCTTTACGCAAAAACCCCAGGAAAGGCGATCAGAGGGGAGGAAAGCGTGAAATAGTGAATGAGTCATAGAGTGTAAATAGGCCCCACAATGTAAAATAAACATCCATTTATATACAACTAATGGTGGGTAGTCGTTGCTCTGTTTTTAATAATTCAGGATTTATTTCGTATTACTTCATAGTACAGACTATCCAGCGATTTTCAAAAAATAGTTCAAGGTTAAATTTACACCTTTACCCTAAAAGAATTAAATCATATCATTGAAAAAGAAACTTTGGCTTCTTGTATTTTTGTTGTTCTATGTTTACAATATAAAAAATCATAACAAATTATATTATCCATAAATTAAAAGATGATACAATTTTTTTTCCACGGCATATTCATACAAAAGGATCATGTCATTGAAAAAGAAACAGAGACCTAAGACCAGCCTTTATCAAAGGTGTCTCCACTACATAATATTTCTTAGAGACGACCGCGAATTAAAGCAAGCTAAGTCTTCCCCATGGCCCTAACTAAAGCTTGGTTCTACGTGTTTAATTAACAAACCCGTGATAGCCAGAAAGTTTCCCAGACAAAATGAAAATGGCAGTTCTTATACTTATATCCTATTCACTCCTTGCCTCGTTTAGTTTGGCTGCAAAGGAACCGCACATCCCAACTTACTTTGACCACAACTGCACAATGAGCAGAAACTACACTGCCAATAGCCGCTACCAGTACTACCTCAATACTTTTCTGTTTTCCAACGCCTCCAACAGTGACACTGCGAAATTCAGCACTACCACCGCTGGCAACGACGCCGACACCACCGTATATGGCGAGTTCATGTGCCGCGGCGACATTCCCCAGCAGGTCTGTCAGGATTGCATCCAAGACGCCTCCAATCGAATAGTCTCAGAGTGTCCCAACAACAAAGAGGCAATCATCTGGTACGACGAGTGCTTGGTCCGCTATTCCAACCGTTCTTTCTTCTCTACCCTCCAAGAGCAGCCTACAGCAACCAGCTTCTCGTACCTGGGGCGTTATAGCAGGATCCGGAAAAAGTCTTGGAATTCAAACCTTGGTGGCATCGACTAAGAACCAACAGGAATGGAACAACCTACGATGGTGGAAGGGCCAGATGCAAACTCTAGTAGGTTGTTAAACAGGACATTGATTGATGTGTTGATGGAGGCGGTGAAGTCAGGCAATGAAAGTGTCAAGAATTTTGCGACAAAACAAGCAAACAGGAGCGATTCAGAAACTATGTTCACTCTTGCACAATGCACGCCGGATCTGTCCCCGCAAAACTGTGCCAAGTGTCTGCTTCATGTCATTCAACTTATTCCATGGGGCTCCATTTCATTCGATTATGGAAGAATTGTGAACCCTAGCTGCAACTTGAGATTTGGAACATACCGATTTTATTATAAGAACCATGGCAAGGACCCTCCCCCCGACTCCTTTGGTTCGACCTCAGAAGGTAAAGTCACTTTTTTGGCTTCTCCCCCCTAAATCTTCTAAATAATTGTCTGAGCTCGAGTAGGAAGTATTTAATATTGCGTCAGTTTTTATTGAAATATCATGTTTAGACCAAAACTACTCTGACATTTGCTTCTTGTTTTTTTTTTTTGACCTGAACCCTCACATTTGCTTTGGTTAAATATCAAAAACACCTTCTATAATTGGGTAACAATTAAGAGATTCTCTTCTCTAATGATGGTTTTTATTGAAATCATTAATTAGGTCCATATACTTTGATTGCAGTTTTTTTTTGTCGTTCTTAGTTCCTTTTTTTTTAATTAAAATTAATAATACAGACTGAGCTATTTCAAAGACAGTTAATTTTATTAACATGTACTTACTCTGTTAACTCTTTTCCTGACGTGTACTTAACTTTGCCTTCATCTCCCACATCAGTTTAATCCAAATATATACAAGAAAGCTTACCTTGTATTTTTAATCATGCATAGTCAATTTATTTCCATGACAACATATTTTTCCCATATTAGCAAAGCGATTGGTAAAGTTACAGTGAAATTAATTTTGTTAGCCTCCATTTGTTTCAACTTATTTTATGAAAAAAAATCACATTTTTTAAACAAAATTTATTTTGTGAATTTTTATAATGTTTGTTTAAACTTTTAAAAATAATCAGAATTTAAAAAAATTAGAAATCTAATTATTTTAATAAATTACTTTAGGTACCTTCTAAAAATAATTTGATATGGTAGATGAGAGAGAATATTTTTAAAATATGAGATACAGGAAAACATCATAAAATTTTAAAATACTTCAATAATAAATTATTTTCATAAAACAGAATCAAGAAAGATATTTTAAAATGTAAAAATAACTAACTAATAATCACTTTTTATTATTATGAAAAAAAATAAAATAATTTTTTTTAAAAAATCTCTAGAAAATAAATCTCTTTTTATAAAATCTTTAAACTATCCAAAAATTACTGATTTTTAAATCTTAAATAAACAGGCCCTAAATCTCTTTTTATAATCTCTAAACTTTCTAAAAATTATTTATTTTTTAATCTAAAACAAACAGTTCTTAATGATAATTCATAGTCTTTATGCATATTTTTAAAATTATTGAAATTAATTAACATTGCAGAAAATAAAATTAAAAAGACTTGGTATAAAATTATGCAGACTAAAAATAAAACGCAACCAAAGTACAAAGATTATATTTTCGTGGTTTTCATTTCGTCAAGGGTTAAAATTTATGCAACAGATATTTTTTCTTTCCAGCTATGCAGCTGTGCTATATCAAATGATTGATAGTTAATATATATTAATATATAATTTTTATAAACAATACAATAATAAGGTAGGCCACACTTTTTATATAACTTATAGAATTGTGACTTTTATCGTAGATTATGTCTGTACATGTTGTGCACCTCCTATTTATAAGTCAATACCACTTATGTTATATTTATCAGAATTAAAAAAAATATTATTAATTATATTTTAAAATCTAACAAGTTTCCACCTCAATTCTATTCAGGATAAAAAAAAATTTTCAATAATTTTCTCTACAATTTAATAATGTCAAATGATAGATATAAATATATAAAAATAGTGAAGTGTCTTATAAATAAAATCAAAATTAATCTCTTTTTTTTTTGTTTATAAATAGAATCATAAGAGTATTTTGATATTTGAGATCTGAGAGGGAAAAAGTAAGGAGATCGGTAATAACAGATATGATGACCTTTCAGTCACGGAAGTAAAAATGTGCTCGTAATTAACTAATGTGCGGTGTTTCACTTGCATGCTGCAATTCATTGACAACAATCCCATTGTTTTCCACTTTTCCTTGCATGTAAGGAATACAACAAATCACATGTGGTGAAATTAAAGAAAAAATGTTGGGAAATAACAAGAAGATAGTAGTAAATAAAATAATCAAATATTATATTCAATCTTAACCTTTTGTGTGATACTTTATTTAACTGTCTGGGGGGATTCAATTTAACAAAGAATAGCACGCGAATTGAAATAAATTGTTTAATTTAAGAAAAATTATTTGAACCCATGGCTTGTTATTCCTGATGGTTGTGATTTTGTTTCTTTTGGTAATAAACAGAGGATGACCCTGAGCTTGTAAACTACGACTGCGGACACTATGCTGCTGACAATGCCTATCGGAACAACGTACGAAGTCTCACTCTCAATCTTTCTACATTTTCAAACAGCACCGAAAACAATGGATTCTACAATGCTACGATTGTAGGAAGGCAGTCCGATACCATCTATGGCCTTTTCATGTGTCGGGGTGACGTGTCTCGTGGTCTCTGCCGTGACTGCGTCAATGAGGCAATTCAGAAGCTAAATGCTTTCTGTGACTGTTGCAAGGAGGCTGTCATGTGGTATGACGTGTGCATGCTTCGCTATTCCAATCGCTCCTTCTTCTCTATCGTGGACACAGAACCACCTGCAGTTTCACAATCTGCAGCAAAGATGCTAAAAGGTGAGCAAGAAGACTTCAATCGGCAATTAGCGACTAACTTGGACGAACTAGTGAAGAAGACAACGAAACCAGGGCCAAAGGAGGTGAAGAACTTTGCGAAACAAGAAGCAGGCAGTTCTTCAGGGTTTAAAAAATTTTACGCCCTTGCACAATGTACACCAGATCTGTCCAGCAAACAATGCGAAAAATGTCTACGAAATGCCACAGACGATATTATCTCGTGTTGTATTGAAAAGCAAGGAGGAACAGTCATGTATCCTAGCTGCAACTTGAGGTTCCAATTGTACCAATTTTTTTATGATAATATTGCTGTTCCATCACAGCCTCCTGCGCATCCCCCCTTTCATCCTCCAGGAACTACAGGTGAAGTAATTGAGGATCCAATCATGCTTCACCAAGATAATTCATTCCATTCATATAAATAGATCGCCTTAATTTTCTCTCCATTTTTCTTTATCAATCTTCTCTATTCATTGTCTGTATATGGCATGTAAATGTGAAAATGGTTTTGTTAATTTTCGCAGGGAAACATGAAGGTAAATCACGAACGATTATAATTGTGGTGATCCTTATTGTTGTTTCTACCGTGCTTTTTGGTTTCGGCTATTATTGCTGGCGGAGAAAAAAGATCATCAAGAGCTCCAAGGCTATTCTAAAGGAAAATTGTATGTATTATAATTAAAGAAAACATTCAACTTAATCAAAATATATATCAAGTGTACTAAATTTTTAATGTTATAATATGTAGTTGGAAGTGAAAGTGCAACGTTGGAGTCGTTACACTTCAAGTTAGCTACCATTGAAGCTGCAACAAATAGGTTCTCAAATGAAAATAGAATAGGCAAGGGTGGATTTGGAGAAGTTTACAAGGTGCTCACTAGACCAATGGAATTAATGTTTATATATTATTATTGCATGTTTATATCACCTCTCCCCTGATTTTTTCGCCGGTTCATATATTCCCCCTTTAATGATGTAATAATTTATGATTACAGGGCATTCTTCCTGATGGCAAAGAAATAGCTGTGAAGAGATTGTCAGAAAGTTCTCGGCAAGGCTTAACAGAATTCAAGAATGAAGTTTTACTAATTGCCAAACTTCAGCACAGAAATCTTGTTGCATTATTAGGATTTTGCTTGAAAGGCCAGGAGAAAATACTTGTTTATGAATATGTTCCAAACAAAAGCTTGGATTTCTTCTTATTTGGTCTGTCCCTTCTAAACCCATTTCACCTTTTAGTTAAACTTTTTCTCTATTCGTGCATTTTCCACTCATCAATTATTCCTATATTGATGCTGATACTTTAGTTGTTATTGTCTAAAATTTATTTTAGTTATGCAGACTGTATCGTCATTAAGTGCCATTCTCACAGAATTTTTGATCATATATATATATAGGTTCCCAAAAAGAAAGAGCATTAACTTGGTCAGACCGCTTTAAAATTATAAGAGGAATTGCTCGAGGAATTCTTTATCTCCATGAACATTCTCGCTTAAAAGTCATTCATCGAGATCTCAAGCCTAGTAATATTTTGTTGGATGATGAAATGAATCCAAAAATTTCAGATTTTGGCTTAGCCAAAATGGTTGGTATTAGTGAAACTAGAGGAAGCACTGATAGAATTGTTGGAACATTGTAAGTTTTACTTTTCTTTCTCTTAGCTCTCTATCTTTTTATCAATATATAATTAAATGTTTGTGAGTGTAGTCAAAGCACGCGACTTGCTATTGAACTTAAGCAGTGAATAATGTTGCTCTAGTTGTATATTGTTAAGATTTGAACATTGATATATTTCTATGTGTGGGTTGATATGTTTAATGTAGGGGTTATATGTCTCCAGAATATATTAAGTTTGGTGTATTTTCTGAGAAATCAGATGTTTTTAGCTTTGGAGTTATGGTATTAGAAATTGTCAGTGGAAAGGAGCATGCAGGGTTTCATCATGGATCTCAAGATCAATCTCATCAGTATAGTTATGGGCTCTTAAGTAGTGTAAGTTTAAATTACATATGTTTTTGATCTCGTTAATTTTTCTCATATAATCATCTCTCTTTCAGAGCTTATATATAGTTAACGATGTTGTATAATCAAATTGGCAGAGACCTAATTTGAATTGACAATTTGATGACTTGCAGGCTTGGAAGCATTGGAGGGATGAAACATTGAAAGGGATATTTGATTCAAATCTAGTAGAAGCTGATTCTCATCACAATGAAATGATCAAATGCATCCATATTGGTTTGTTATGTGTTCAATCAAATCCGGGAGACAGGCCTTCCATGAATAGAGTTGTTCAATATCTAAGTAATGATTCAATGCATTTGCCAATTCCTCAAGAACCAGCATTCTTCATTCATGGGCAAATGGATTCAGCAACCACCAGAGCACCGGAGGCTCAACTTGCCGATCGCAATCAATGTTCTGTTGACCAAATGTCCCAAAGTATATCTTTTCCTCGCTAGATCTTAAGGGGCTTTTGCCTGTCCTTTGCCAGAGTAGATAATTTCTTTTGTATTCAATGTATATATCACTCGTGCTTTGTTTCTTCTAAGATCATGTGTATAATAAGTTAAAAACAACTTGATCGTTTCAGATTTAGATGAGTTTTCCTGGCCATTTTTTATTTTTCTGTTCCTTGAGATGCATCTTCTTCTTGTTTTTCTTGTTTTTGCTTTTACTTTGACAATTGGTTAAGATTTTGTTGGTCAGGGACTTGAGACCCCCAAAAGGATTGATGCTTTAATTATGAGTTTTATTCATCTTTTATTATTATTTTTTTTCATGAGTGTCCTTCATCTTACTCGACTCTATGACATTTGGATAAATGATGCAAAGCTAAGTGTTCATATATTTTTACGCAGGGAAATGGGAAGGGACTTTTTTTCTACTGTACACAAAAGCCACGATTGACTCATAATAAAGGAGAGACGACTAGCTAACACACGTAGTTCATTATTATAGAAGTGGGCTTAAAAAACACCCCATATATAGGAGGGGCCGAGGGGCATGATAAAAGGAAGGGACTTTGATATCTAACAATTAAACATGATTGCGGTTTTAGTTGTCATAATTGTCCAGAAGCAGGGTTTGATGTACTGTATATGTTAATTATTTCGTCTATCTTTTAATATATATGAGAAAAACTTTCATATAGTTTATAGTATTTTTTTTAAATAATATTATTAGCCACTGTCATGTCATTTAGTGCAAATTAATTTATATAAAGATAATTTCTAAAGTTATTTTTGAATTCAACCAATTAATAATTTAATGAATCAATCAATTATTTATTTAAGTAATAAAAGTATAATAAAAATATTTAAAAGTCTAAAAAAGGTTCATAATATGCAGCAGTTATTAAATATTGCAAAAAGAAGCATTTAAAAGCAATATTTTATATAATTAGTGCTTATTAGAAAAGGGAACAATTTCCAATTAGTGTAAAAAAATTCATTTTTTTAAATAAGCAACATAAAACTGAAATTCAACAGTTTAAAATTATTGCCTATTCTTAATGAGGCAACATTTTTTAAATGTTATCAAATGTATGTTGTTTAGAGCAGTGATCAATTGCAACACTTAAAAAATATCACTTATTTACATAATATTAGACAATATTTTTAAAACTGTTATAAAGTGAAGTGTTGTCGGAAGCAAAAAATATTGTAGTGCAATATCTTCCTTAAATTACCCTCCATTCAATGTCATTGAATTAAATTAATTATGAAAAAATTAAGAATTAATTACAAAAGGTATTTTTGTACAAATATAATTATTAAGATTAACCAGTCTTTTTAAATTGTGCAAGCTAGTTAAAATTTGTTTATATTTGAAGATGGGGGAGTATATCATAGAATAAATTAAATGAAGGCGAACTTAAGGTGCTTCACATAATCAGACATGAAAAAAAAAAAGGATTTAATCTTTATAGCTTTATTAAAATCATTCTTGAGCTAATCCTTCTTTAAAAAATATTTATAAGATCAACCTCTAAATCTCGTTTAAAGCATCGATGTTCATATATAGGCAGAGTTTGTTATTAATTAACATCATCATGACGTTGTCCTTGTTCCCTTTTCTGCTTCATATTTATTATTACTCTATACTGCGAACTAAAATGAGGATGGCTATATTTCTTGCGATAGACTGGAATTTTGTAAACTTATCAGGCCTCAGACACATGGCGTTGGGCGATATAATTAATCATTTTTAGTATGAAAAGTACAAAGATACCAAATATGTACTTATTACGATGGACTGACCTACCTGTATTATACATGGGAGCAGCTGCCCTCGCGAATTTTTTTAGTTTATTTAACAAATATTATATTAAAAAATGTAAAGTATTTTTAACTGAATCTCACTTTTTAATAAAGTAGTTAATTATTTTTAAATTAATACTATTTTTTCATATTTAACTCCATTTAATAAAATGTTTCACCTTAAAATAAATATAAAGTGGTTTATTCAATAGGGACACTTTTAATAAAAGGTAATGATTATATTTTAAAAAATTAAAAATAATATCTTATATTTTTTAATCTCTAACCCCTCAAAAGATACTCGCATTTTCTAACGGAAGGGTACATGTATATGTTTATCATTTGCCCCCGTTTCACGTTGATATTAATTGTCCGGCCATAATTGATAATATTACTCTTTTATGTCACCTAACTTATTTTTATTCTTATATTCATATAAGTTTTATAATTCACATAATAAATATCATATATTTTATATTTATTATTTTATTTGTGACTGCTTTATTCTTTTCATTTGAATTGTCTATAGTCTCTTTTAATTTGATATTGTTAACAACTAGTTATTCTAGTGACAACATTACTTTCCTTAAAACAGTTTAGTAAGTTTGAACCCAACATTAACATATTTGTGTGCGTGTGGGAATGTGTATATCTCCATTTTTTATGAAAAAGGATTTGGTTACGAGTAATTTTTTTTTAAGTTTCTTATGATACATTTTTTTGTATTGCAAGAATATGTATCCTTATATATATGTGTGTGTTAGTGTATGTGCCCATGTCGATGTATAATGCACCCATAGTTCAAAGTTTCTGGTCCGTCACTGCTATTATATTTCTCTGCGGTTGTAAGAATAAAGAAGTATTTATTTAGTTATTATATTTATATTTATTTTTATTTATAGTAATTTTATTCTATACCCTTCATTCCTTCAAGGTCTTCCCATGGAGACTCCTGCTTGTTCCGATACTCTTTCATTTTACACGATTATATGAGATTTAATATTATTGGGTCACATTCTTTTTTTCATTCCATCATTGCTATCTTGAAAAATATGAGGATACTACCACCTCTTAGCCAGACTAATATGAACATCTATTAAAGTAATCGTTATTTTCAATCACTACTGTATAAATGAGATTTAATAGTATATATTTTGCAGCAATAAAAAATAAAACATCACTAATATTAAAATCGAAGCAAAGAAGTGACGTTTCTTATTTCAAATGTTAGCGCTTATAAATTATTTTTTTACTTACAATTTTAATAAATAATAAGAGGTGATGTTTTAAAAGTGGCGAAACACCACCTCTCTTCTTTTTTATTAAATTAATTTTTTTTCATAATAAAAAATAGAAAGGTGGTATTTCCAATTGAAAATGCCACCTTTCTACTTTGTTAATAATTTAATATTTTATTTTATGAGATTAAATAATTATTTTATTATAATTTATTTAATTAATATATCAATTATTTAATAAACAAATAAAGAGAAGTGACATTTTCAAACTTAAAAATACCACCTCTCTTTCTTTTTTATTATTTTATTATAAGATAAAATATTATTTTATTCTAGTTTATTTAATTAATATTAAGTATCAATATGTATTATTATCTAATAATTTAAAAGTAGAGAGGTGGCATTTCTTTAGCTTGAAAACACCATCTCTCTGCCCTCTTATTAATTTAGTATTTTATTTTTTAATTAAATAATTATTTATTATAATTTATTAAATAAATAATTTTATATAGTATATCATATTATTTAATGAATAAAATAAGAGAGGTGACATTTACTAAGCTTGAAAATTTCATTCTCTATACTCTCTTACAAATTTAAAAATTTATTTTATCATATTAAATAATTTTTTATTATAATTTATTTATTTAGTATTTATAATTAATGCAAATTAATATTTAAAAAATAATTGAAGAGAGATTGCATTTGCAAACTTGGAAATGCCGCTCTCTTCCTTTTTCAATATTTTATTATTTTACTATAAAATAAAATATTATTTTATTATAATTTATTTAATTAATATTAAGTATTAATATGTATTATAATCTAATAATTAAAAAGTAGAGAGGTGGCATTTCTTCAACTTAGATATGCCACCTCTCTACCTTATTATTAATTTATAATTTTATTTTATCAGATTAAATAATTATTTATTATAATTTGTTAAATAAATAATTTCAAATATTATATCACATTATTTGATAAATAAAATAAGAGAAATGATGTTTGTTGAGCTTAAAAATACCATTTTTGATACTCTCTTACTAATTTAAAATTTTTTTTTCATATTAAAAAAATATTTCATTATAATTTATTTATTTAATATTTATAATTAATATATAATAATATTTAAGAATCATTAAAGAGAGGTGAGGTTGCCAAAAATGCCACGTCTCTTTCTTTTTTATTATTTTATTATATGATAAAATATTATTTTATTATAATTTATTTAATTAATATTAATTATTAATATGTATTATAATTTAATAATTAAAAAGTAGAGAGATGACGTTTCTTCAGCTTGAAAACACCACCTCTTTGTCCTCTTATTAATTTATTATTTTATTCTATCAGATTAAATAATTATTTATTATAATTTATTAAATAAATAATTTTATATAGCATATCAAATTATTTAATAAATAAAATAAAAGAGGTATATTTGTTGAGCTTAAAAATACCATTTTCTATACTTACTGATTTAAAATTTTTTACAATAGTAAATAATTATTTTATTATAATTTATTTAGTTAGTATTTATAATTAATGCATAATAATATTTTAAAAATAATTGAAGAGAGGTAGCATTTCCAAACCTGGAAATACCACATCTCTTCCTTATTTAATATTTTATTATTTTATTATAAGATAAAATATTACTTTATTATAATTTATTTAATTAATATTAATTATTAATACGTATTATAATTTAATAATTAAAAAGCAGAGATATGGCATTTCTTGAGCTTAAAAACACTACCACTTTTTCTGTTATTAATTTATTAATTTATTTTTTAGATTAAATAATTATTTATTATAATTTTTTAAATAATATATCATATTATTTAATAAATAAAATAAGAGAAACGACGTTTGTTGAACTTGAAAATTTCATTGTCTATACTCTCTTATTGATTTAAATTTTTTTTCATAGTAAAAAATTATTTCCTTATGATTTGTTTATTTAATATTTACAATTAATATATAATAATATTTAAGAACTAATTAAAGAGTGGTGGCATTTCTAGACTTAAAAATGCCACATCTCTTCCTTTTTAATTATTTTATTATAAGATAAAATATTATTTTATTATAATTTATTTAATTAATATTAATTATTAATGTGTATTATTATCTAATAATTTAAAAGTAGAGAGGTAGTGTTTTTTCAGCTTGAAAATGCTAGCTCTATGCCCTCTTATTGATTTATTATTTTGTTCTATCAGATTAAATAATTATTTATT